GTCCTTCATCCAAAGGACTTCATCAGTCCGAGGAGCCACAACAAACTCAGTCGCACAAGCAGCACACTCACATAGTGGACCAACCAGTTTTCTGGTGATAAGATTGTTTCTGGGGCCCGTCCTCCCCCCGCCGACTCCTCTGAGGCAGCCATAGTGGTTCAAAACATCAAAATTCATGCTCAGTAATCCAGGTAAAAAAATCCAACAAAGATGTTTGATCTTTGATGTTCTGAACCACTTTGACTCTAGGCAGCCTCAGAGGAGTCGAAGGGGGAGAGAGTGGGCCCCAGAAACAATCCTATCACCAGCAAACTAGTTAGTCCACAATGTGAGTTTTCTGCTTGTGGAACTCAGTTTGTTGTGGCTCCTCGGACTGATGAAGTCCTTTGGATGAAGGACGAAACGTCTAAAAAAATAAAAATAAACCGTCCAGATGACCTGACTGAACTTCGTTGGATTCTCTACCTGGATTATTGAGCATGAACTTTGATGTGTAATGGGTTCAGTTAAAATGGGGTTTCCTGTCAGACAAAATCAGAATTTGTTTCTCACCTGCTTCTAAGAGGTTTGGAAACAAGAGACTGAAAAACAGTTGCTGAAGTATCGACCTAAAACACAAAGAATGAGAGAAACCAAAAAATATATAATAATCCACAAATTATCTATGGGTAAACAAATATTCAAGACATCTTCTGTTTTACTTATTCACAGTAAGACAACCAATAGCTGTTTTCAAAGGAGTAAAGGTAGTCCCTGGTGATGTAAAAGAAGTAATAGCTAGTACATTTTAAAAGCTAGTTATACTGCAGTTGGTCGGCCATGCAGAAAAGGATGTGGTGCTTTATTGCGTAACTCTCCTTGTCCTACACTGACCCAGCCAGAGCCATCTTTAAACAACAAGCAAGTTCACTCTGCTAAAAACTCCTGCCCTGAAGTACAAGTGTACTCCCACACTCCAACGATAACACAAATAAACAAAGATGCAAACAGAGAAACACCAGCTCACAACCTGAGAACTCACCAGGCAGCACTGGAGGCCCACCAGCCAATACTCAGCAAGTCTGCAATAGTAGGCTGGAAAAAAAAAAATAAAAATCTTTGGTCACTTTTCAAACCATGATATTTGTGTGTAAACAATAATAATCTCAGAGATTCACATCCTAACTGTGTGTGTGAGTATGTTTTCTAACCACGAAGATGGAGCGGGGTCCAGCTGCTGCTTTGCTGTCTTTCTCTGGGTCGCACACTGACTGATAATCGTACGTCTTGTTGAAAGAGTACAGGGATGTGTTGACCAGATGGATCATCAGCACTGGATCCACCTCACCAAAAAACTGACCTATCTGGAAGAGTTTACGTTAATACAAACACACAGACACACACGTGCACACACACAAACAAGCCAGTTAAAGCATCATAAACCTCTGCTTGTAAAAACAAAGCTTCCAGCTGTTTTCTTGTTGTTGCTGAAAGAGGTTGAAATCCGTGCATTCAAAATAAGTAAAAGATGTGTCAGAGTTTGGTCCGTTTAAATGGGTGTATGGCAGTAATGTCAGTTTGGAACATGCAGTGCAAGCAAGTAAACTGTTTTTACAGATTATGTTTGAGGTTGTTGGATATAAGACAGTACACGAATCTGAGGAACATGGGCCAACTGACAGATGGAGGACTGCGTCAGAGTAGCACTGAAAGGGCAAATCTTGGAACGCTTTTCCAAAAAGCCGTACCCATGACGTCATATGAAGAGCCGAAACTGCAAACAGGGGTCATGGGACGCTAAGGGCCATTGAAGGGGTAGTTCAATTTTTTTGGAGTTACTGTTCTTTGGACTTGTTAGGAAGTGGTGGTGCAGAGGTTAGAGGAGTCGGGCCTGTGATCGGAAGATCGCTGGTTCAACTCCCGGTACTGACAACATCAAAATGTGGGTGGAATAAGTGAAGCATCCACACCTGCTTCCACCCTCATTTTCTCCATTCTGGGCCCTTGAGCAAGGCCCTTAACCCCCACCATCTGCTCCTCCGGGCGCCCTAGAAAACAGCTCTCTGCTCCACACAGAGGGCTGTGGTAGCTCAGTGTCTGTGGTTGCTTCAGGAAGGGCATCCGGCGTAAAAATAACCGCCAAGTCTTCGTGCAACTTAGTTTGCTGTGGTGACCACTAACGCAGGGAACAGCCGAAAAAAAAAAGTTATTTGGACTTGTTAGCAGTAGTCAGTATCTTACCTGCAGTAGACAGCACTATGAGAAAGTTTAATGGATGAATCAGTCGTACAGCTAGTAAAAACAGAGTTCCAAAGCAGATTTCTGCCATTTTGAAACAACTCCTATTTCTAAAAACGTTGCATTATTTCATTCAAATTCTAACCTTTACATCACTGTCAACCTTGAGTTGGATGTTTACTTATGTAGATGGTTATGATTATTTACAATGGAAACTGATTTGGTCTGGGTTTCATTAAAATGTGTTTCAGGGCATAAATAAAGTAACTAGTGACAATGAAAACATTATTTAATTTAAAACTGAAAAGACTGGAGACTAGCAATTTGTACCTGTTGTTATTTATTTCTTTGTTCATTTGTTTTTGGTTTGTTTATTATGTTTTTCAATTTGATGTTTAAATTTGTTGTCTTGTCAATGATGTGGCAAATATGGTTTGTATTTACTGCTGCCTACCTTGGCCATGTCTACTTTGAAAAAGTTTTTAATCTCATTGGGATTTTCTTGGTAAATAAATGTTCAATTAAAATAAATGAATACATAAATAAATGAGAAAACTATTAAAATAGCATTTGAATACATTTATGTTTTGGGTTTTCATGCCACAGTACTTTTGCATCAGATGGCTACTTTCACTGAATGTGATGTGTACTGCAGGTAAGATAATGACTGTTAATAACAGAACAGAAGGTTTTTTTGGGGACATACATTTAGGGCAGATGCCTGTTTAAAAACATTGTTATTAGAATGCAGATTTTTATTTTACAGTATTTTAAAAAAGTAAAATAATGTGTAAAATGTGTTAGTTTAGGCCTTAATAAAGCCACATTTTTCTTTTTCATCACATTACTTTGTCCAAGGATTATAGTTTTTTGTTGTTGTTTTGTTGATGTTCTGTTACAAATGTATTGAACAGCATGCATCCATCTATAAAGATCCTGCCTAAGAGGCTATAAGAACAGAAAGGACATAGTTTAATTTTAAGGTAATTTACCAGGAAATGACTGTGTGCAGCTATAACTTTTTATTGGAACATTTATTTACCGAACTGGGTCAGTTTAACAGAACTCATGACAAAATGTGACTAAAACAGAGAGATCAGCTCAAACTTTCTTTGACCAAACTTCAAATGAAAGCAATGAAAAAATGTGAACAATGTTATTTTGTTCTATTTGATATAATTAGGTTTGATTAGTTTGCCCTTTGTGTCAGCCAACTATAATAACTATGGTACTTAAGCTGCAGTGGGATAATTTCTAGGGGCTTAAATGCTGCTACTTTCTGAACAATACAAATAATGCTGTTTAATCACAATGGTGATCCAGTTGTTTGTACTGAAACATGTATTATTGGGTTTCTAAAAAAATGTAGCACAACTTTTTCTTTGGGGCTCTCATCTGCCACAATAAACTCCATAAACTTTTGTAACATGTTTTAATGACATTATTTTGTTAATTCAAAGCCTAAAGTTTCAGGTGAATCACTCCAACATTGTAACAATAGCATGGTATGTAGGAAAAGTTGCAAAAACAGAACCAAAGTGCATCTTGTTACAGCATAGTAACAAAATAAATAAGAATAAATAAAATAAAAATAATTTTAGCGAGCAGCATGCACTGAAACAAGATTATTAAGCATGGCATGTGCCTTTTATGACTACCATTAATGCCACAGGTGCAGCATCCAAGTCCTGAGTGAAAGGTGAGTATTAGTCTCTTAATGATCAAACTTTTTTAAAAACTTTTCCTATGCAGTTATGAATCAGTGTATAGATTGACAAAAGAAAATAAACACATCTGACAATGGGTCAGAAACATTTAAACATAGAAGTTTTAAGGGTTGACATTTTCTACGTGCAGTGTAACATTCTTCTTATTATTTTTTTGACAGCACAAAACAGAAAGAATGTTCTGAAAGGTCCCGGTGGATGAAAAATGTTTTACAATGTCAAAAAGAAATAAAAAAAAAAGGTACTTATTCAAATGATTGAAGAAAAAGGACTGTTTGACAGATTTTGTGATGGTAGAGTAGATCAAAGACAGCACATGTCCTGCCTTGGCTGAAATGAAATGTTTTCAAACCCACTCCACCATATAGTGACAGGGATGGATTGAGGGCGGCCAGGAAGGGGCAGAGTTAACGCAGCAGAGCAGACGTCTTACATTCACAGGGGACACACTTCAGTGAAGCCTCCACAACTGACTTCAATCCATCCGGCTTCCCTTTGAACCTCCTCCTGTGGCTAGAATTTTACTATACCAGATACAAACGTAACGCAAATGGGCCTTTCTTGTAGCACAGCTGAATTATGTAGCCTTTATTTCACCTTTATACCAGGACAATGCTGTGATTAAAGTGAAGTAGGCTTTATTTTTTCCAGAATGAGAACTATGGTTGTAAGATTTGATTCCAATATAATATAATATGATCATGTGTATAAGTCTTTTATTATTGAGTGATAGTGTAACCCTTATTTGAGTATGAGCAACAAGAAACAAATACATGACTATAAAATGATATGAGATGAAATATTTGTTGATGATGACTCACCAGAGAAATATACTCCTCTTGATTTGACATAAGAAGAAATCCTCCATCATCCAGTATCACACAGTCTACAAGCTGAATAAATAAACACTTTACAAACAAATTAATACATTGAATTGTTTTTAGCAGGCATTCATTTTGAATGCAGGCACATTACAAATTTAAAGGAAAACCTAATGTTATGCAAAAGATACAATAATTTAACAATATCAATATGATGAAGAAAAATAAATAAACTAATGAAAGTAAAAACATATAAAAGTTTTCAGGTTAAATGAGAAAACTCTACAAAAAAAAAAACCCATATTCAATAATTTAGTCTACCCTCCATACCTTGTCATTCCTCAAGCAGCCGCAAATCTCATCTTTGCACTAAAAATAAAAAAAATGCATTAATTAAAAATACTAAATGACGTTTGAGTTACACCAGAAAACAGTCTGAACTACTGTAAACAATACAAATAAACACATTAATGTAACTCACATTTAACTTCTGTGTTGCATTAATGAAACTGTTCATCCAAAATGAGACGTTAAGTTTCACTCCCACCACTAAAATAAAAAATAAAATTAAAAACAAAGGTCAATCTATATGTTTTGCATATGACCTTGCTACGAGCGTGTTCTTAGTTGAACTGACCTGCTGGTTTTAGTGTGACTTCATTGATGACGAGATCTACAGCTTTGCTCACTAGGATCCCTGACTCAGACACAGGCTCCTTGGCATCTGCTAAAATTTCAAGTTGGAACACAAGGAAGGTCAAACAGTTTTGTATCATACTTTACTGTCTACTAGATGATGGGGATTGTTCACTGAGCGAAACAAAAATTGCCAAAAACTGAACTTTTTTCTAAACAATTCCATGCAGATTTGCTTCTGTAATTTATGAGTCCGTGAAGCCAGAACATGTGTTAATCCAGTCAAGTACACTGTGGCTGTAACACTGACATTCACCAGTCCTGCCGTCTGTTAGAGAAATCAGTGGAGATGACAGGATGTATACAGTGGAAAAAAAGAGAAAGGGGATAGCGGGGTTGTGTGCTGCAAAACACAGCAGGAAAAGAACAAGGATAGAGAAAGTGGTATCTGAGACATACAAGCGTGGCTGTTGCCAGTAAGGTTGGGATGACGTCTGAAAACAGTGAACAGAGGAACTGCAGTCTATAAAAGCTCTCAGTGAACATCCTGCATGCTTACTGTTGAAAGATGGAGCAGTGAATATATACACGTCATTATCCAAGGTCCTCTTGTAGAAGCTGGACTCGTATGTCTCTGGATTTTCAGTCCATTCTTCGCCAGCACTGAAATTATCCACAAGTATAAACATATATGACAGATTTTAGGCATAAAAAATAAAATGCAGTAACTGATTAAATCCTAAGCAAATGGACTCCATGCTAGCAAAGATTCTCACTCAAGGAAACCCTGAGACCTCCCGACCAGATATGTAAGTGTCCATTTGGACCTTTACCCCTCTACTAGATATTTGTACTAAAATGTCTGTTTTAACAGAATAAGGCAAATGGTCCTTCCAGCAAGGGAACCACACCAAGCTACTGATCCAGATACTATGTGTGGATGACACCTGGGTCAAAATCAAAGGTGCAAGCATAGCCATCACTGAAAACATCAATTCAAAATGGAGGAAGTGAAAAAAGTGATATTTTTTGGTTAGTTCTGTCTAGTGATAAAAGTGATAAAAGTCTCAGCACCGAGGCACATCAGAAACCTACACACAAACCAGTGCCTTATCTTTCACTCCATGCACCTACTGAAACACAAACTGGCCATCATCAAAACACTAAAACATGAGGTTGAGAATCTTATTAGTACATTTGGAAAACATGAAAACAGGTTTGAAACTGCTTCAATTCAAAGATTAAACACCAAACACAACCTAAGCAGTGCGTTGTACGCAGTCTATTACTGCAAGGAAGGCACAGACCTGTTTTATACACGGGTCAACTAATCAATCACTTTTCAATAAGAAGTACGTAACAAAAATGTGAGCTAATCAAGACTCAGCTGTCCACCTACACATCAAAGAAAACAAAACAATTTTGAGGACAGTAAAGTATACGCTGTGAACAGAGAAGACGGATGATAAGAGGAATGAAGAAATAGAAAGAAAAAAACAACAAGCTAATAACACCAGTTTTCAGTTATCACCCAATCCAGATTTTTAATATGACTGGCTATCCTCCCCATGTAGTTTCACAACCACTAGCACTTTGAAACTTATGACAAAAACATCTCTTGTGTTAGTTGAGCTGAAAAACAACTCAGTCGTGACAACCAAAACAGTATAAAAACAAAAGCTGATAAGCTCCTCACTGTCAGACAGATTATAAAAAGTGAGTTAAACGTCTTTAATAAACAAGACAGCAGTTCAAAATGTCTTCTTTTTGAGCATGTGGAAATACATACATACATATACATACATGCATACATACATACACACATATATAAATATATATTTACATAAATATTACATTACACACACACACACACACACACATAAACAAACATACAACTTTGGTGA